ACAGTTCGAACAGCACTGGGGAACACGTCAGTTAAAGAGACGAAACACTGATCAGCTCATGAATGAGACAAGAGAACATGCTGCTGAGGAAGTGTGGAACCATCACGACCGGGGACTAGACCAAGAATGGGTGCTCAGGAGGGTTCAGGAAAATGTAAACAAACTAGGAACCCATCCAAGGGGTGACAGGCCCAAATCCCTATGGGTCTCCAAATGGTAGAAAAATTAGAAAAAGATAGTGGAAAAATCCAACCACGCAACCTAACTTTAAACTAGGAATGACAGTAATGTTCATTCACATTAGAAAGGCCGACAGTGTTTGTAATATAACTACTGGCGACAGTATCCTATTTGTATGCCAACTTTCATCTCAAGTATTCTACTTTTCTTTCCCCACAGACAGACAAGTGTTGTTCTTTACAGCAGACCTCTTTCCCTCTACATACCAATCTATCCACTCGCATAACTACTAAGTGGCTCACTGGTATATGTCTCATGCTTAATTGGCTGAGCTAGGCGTGGAATCCTGGAAACCACAACAGTCTGTACTTTGCTCCTGTATTTCAGGAATAACTGTCGCTAACCTGCCTCTGTCCGATTCCACCTTCTATGAAGTACACACAGAGGAGCAGTTCATTCTTTTGTAAAGGGATTGGTGGACTTTGTTCGAGATGCCATTTCAAAAGAAACGAGAAAAAAGAAAAACTAAGACCTGCACTGTAAAGCATTATATAGGAGTAGATTTATTACAGCTACTTCACATTTTAGAGAGTGCTACGGTGTCTCGGTAGGAGGCAGGAACCCGAGTTCCTCGTTCAGAAACAGGGTTGGAAACAGTCTCCCGATGGAGATCAAGTGGCTGTCATCTGCCTGGTCTCCTCAAGTATCGAGTGGGATCAGTTGAGGGCTGAGCAAAAGTGGGGACTGGGAAGATGACGAGAAAATATAACTTTTCGGTAGATTGTCGAGGCCAAAGTCAGACTGAGGAGTGAACAGTGTGAAGGAGCAGTTGAGAGCCTCACGGTGTGGAAGGCATAAGGGTTAGAGGCGAGGTTGGCGAGATGCGGGTGCTGGTGTCTGAGGACCTATTGGATTTCGGGCCGTGTGTCCCTCAGCGTCTAGATTCCTGCTTCGTAGGTGATGAGACACTGCATGTAGCGTGTTCCCCTCAGAGACTACCACTTACGAGAGTGCCCATCATTATTTTTGGTGGCAAGGTAGCTGCTATTTTCCTGTAAGCAGAAGCCGCGGAAGAAAATGGTGGGATTAAGACCCGCCCCCGTCCCCGCCCCTTTTCGCTCCTGCTCCGCCCCTTCCCCGCCTTCTACGTGCCCCCCTTGCTTTGGTCGGTCTGCGCGGGCGCGCAAGGGGGACTCGGAAGTTCAGACGGAAGTGGCGTCAGGGGAGCTTTAGGGACTGAACCTGCAGTGTAAACAGAGAGGCTGCAAATCGCTTGTGGATGGTGTAGGCCGCTGCAGGCCACCATGAACCGGCTTCCGGATGATTACGACCCCTACGCGGTTGAAGAGCCTAGCGACGAGGATCCGGCTTTAAGCAGGTGGGCCCCTGCCCCACCCTGGCCCCCGAGGATTTGGGTCGAGGCCTGGCTTTGATCGCCTCACTCGTTGCGCCTGCCGAGCCTATGCAGACCCTAGCGGCTCGGGAGCCTGTCGTGCCTCACTGTCACTTGTGCGAGGCTAAAGGGCTTTCCTGATGGGGTCGCGCAGCCCCGGGGTGGGGCGGGGCCGATGTCTCCTGTAGGAAGAGGGATATTCCGGAATCACGGGGGATCGCGTGTAAATCTTCAAAAGCAATGAGATCGAAACCTACCTCTACAGCTTAGTAGCAGAGTGACGGAAGGCAAGTCACTTATCCTCGATTACTCACCTGTAAAATTGAACTATAATAACGTATAGTTGTATAAGCTATATAGCACAGTGTAACACACTACGTTTGTTGTGAGGCTCACAGGACTTAATGTGAAATGTCCATCTTGAAGACTAAACTGCCATAAACAGAAATAAGGGAATGTTGAATAGCCTTTTTTTTTTTTTTTAACGGGGACTGTTTTATGCTTGCTCTGAGCAACAGTGGGAAATCATAAGGTCCTTGTCTTCCAGAGGCTTATAGTATAATAAGGGTAATAAGATGAAGTACATATATCTTGGCAGTGCATTGTAGAAAATATTGACCTGAGATAGTCACAGAAGAAGGTTCGTGGTATTTCCAGAAGGGAGGTCTTTATTCTACCAGGGAAACTTGAAGCTATTTTGCCAAGAGATTTCCACACAAATTTAGTTATTTCTTAAGCTGTCAGCAAATCCTATTGTTAAACTTTAAAACATTCATTCTGTCCAAAGAAGCTTTCTGTAAAGCTGTGCTTTCATTAACAACGTTGGCCAGGTGTGGTGGCCCATGCCTGTAATCCCAGGACTTTGGGAGGCTAAGGCGGGAGAATCTCTTGAGCCTAGTAGTAAAGGAACAGCCTGGGCAACATAGTGAGACCTCATTTCTTAAAAAAAGAAAAAAAATACCAAAAGAACAATGTTTCCTCATATTGTCATGGGGAGACATTGGATGCATGGGAAATCATACTGCTGTTAAGATTTCTTTTGTGGGGAGTGAGGATGAATACCAGGATTCCCTACGAAAAAGAGTTTCAGTTAATGGGTCCTGTCTGTGAAAGGAGATATATATATGTCTTATTTATTTATTTATTTTGAGACAGAGTCTCACTCTGTCAGCCAGGCTGGAGTGCAGTGGCATGATCTTGGTTCACTGTAGCCTCCACCTCCTGGGTTCCAGCAATTCTCCTGTCTCAGCCTCCTGGGTAGCTGGGATTACAGGCACGAGCTACCACGCCCGGCTTATTTTTTGTATTTTTAGTAGAGACGGAGTTTCACCATGTTGGCCGGGCTGGTCTCGAACTCCTGACCTTAGGCGATCCGCCCACCTCAGGCTCCCAAAGTGCTAGGATTACAAGGATGGGCCACTGAGCCCAGCCTGTTGTATCATTTCTTTAAGGAAGCTTTATAATCCTGTGACAGTTGCCACTGGTAAGGTAACTGTAAAGATAAATATTATAAAAACATAACAGTGTTATCAGACAATATTGCCCGTTGAAGGCTCTGAGCCAAATGGTTATTATTTTAAAAAGGGAGATTAGTGTTAGAGAGGTGTCTGTCAGGATTTAATTTTACACTATTTATAAGCTAATACATTGTAGCCTGTTACTGTTTCACGGTAGCTGACCGAAGACATGAGACTCCTGGGTCAAAGATAAGACTACACATAGCACAGCAAGCAGCATGAGCATCATGTTTGTGTGGCTTGCTCTTGCTTGTCAACCCTACAGGTATTATGCTGATGGTCCTAGAAGAATGCTGCACATTCAGTGGGTTGGCATCGTGGCTAAAGAATACTTGAGCTTGGAGAATCCACCTCTTTCATGGCAGACAGTAAATACACCTGCTCTTTGTCCTGGAAGGAGACATTATCTCATTCCTCAAGGTTGTTTGTTGCAAACACAATCCTGAGAAATGGCTGGAGTGAACAGTGGTCAGAACCTTGCATTCTTGGCATACTTAACTTGCATATCCAGTGTCCATGATTTATTATTGCCTTTCCCAGTAGTGCTGAAAACTGAGACTTTGGTTGAAATAATCAAAAGAATTGAAGAAAATTTGTAGAAAAAATAACTCTCGCTTTGTGATTCAGTTTTTTTAAATTAAACATTTTATTTTGAAGTTTTTGTAGATTCACATTCAGTTATAAGAAATAATACAGGTCTGGTGCAGTGGCTCACACCTGTAATCCCTGCACTTTGGGAGGCCAAGGCAGGAGAATCACTTGAACTCAAGAGTTCAAGATCAGCCTGAGCAACATGATGAAATCATGTCTCTACCAAAAATACAAAATATTAGCTGGGTATGGGGGTGCATATCTGTGGTAATGGTGGGAGGGTGAGGCAGTTGGTTGGCTTGAGCCTGGGAGGCAGAGGTTTCAGTGAGCCAAGATGGCACCATTGCACTCCAGCCTGGGCAACACAGTGAGACCCCCATCTCAGAAAAAAAATAATAATAATAATACAGAGAGATCCTGTGTACCCTTTCTCCAGTTTCCTCCAGTGTTAACATACTACAAAACTATAGTGCAGTATCACAACCAGGATATCTATCTATTTATAGATCTATCTATGTATTTTTTGAGACGGATTCTGAATCCTGAGGCAGGAGAATTGCTTGAACCCAGGAGGCGGAGGTTGCAGTGAGCAGAAATCATGCCACTGTACTACAGCGTGGGTGACAAGAGCGAGACTCTATCTCAAAAAAAAG